GAAGAGCCACTATCTCCTACCCTAGCTGTCACTAATGTCCTGTGGGGAGGCCGACCGGCACAGAGCCAGGTGTCTCAGACCCTCTCAGCCCTGGGACCAGATAGCCTGCACCGTGGGAAGGATGGGCCCCAGAAATTCTTAAGTGCTGGGCCTGGCAGAGCCAGGCTGGTCCAGGAGGCTCTGACCTCACATGCCACAGCAGCAGCCAAGCCCTGAGGCCTTGACTGGGAGGCAGAGGGACCGTGTGGTGAGGACCCTGGCACTGACCCTGCCAGTGAGATGGTCCCAGACTCTACCTGAGTCCGGAGGCCCTCCCCCTCATCCCTGGGAGACATCAAAGCCACACATCTGCCTGTGAATTGTTATTAACTCCATCTTATAGATAAGAAAACAGAGGCTCAGGGAAGCTCTCTTCCTTGTCCACGGTCTCCTGATTGCCAGTATCGGAGCTGGCTCCAGGCTTGGGAAATGCTCTGTTCTCTCCGGAGAAAACAGTATTAAATGAAAACAAAATCTGAACATACCTGTCAGGAAAACAGAGCCCACGCCGAGGAGCTCGGCAGAGAAGTGTTAATACGGGAAGCTATAGGTAAATGTGCTTAACATCCCCTCAGACAATGACTGATCACTTATGCCCGTAGGCCGGGGGACACAGGGGTCTGAGTGCCAGGACAGGGGGTCCCACTTTTGCCCGGCTGCTGTGCATGGCCTGGAAACTGCCTCATCTGCTGTGATGGAGGGGACAGGCCCAAACGCCAACCCAGATGCTCTTGGACTCCGCCAGCCTGCAGGTCGAGTGCCCGTGTTCTGCCCAGTGGGGTTCACAGTGTGCAGGCAGACAGGATACAGCTGGGGGCTCCAGCCTGACTCAGGTACCCTTGTCCCCCCTGGCTGGACAGGCTCTCACAGGCGACTGGTCTTCCCTGCAGCTGGCTCAGCAAAGAGCCCAGTGGAACTTGGTGAAGGACTCACATGAGACATCAGTAGGGGAGCTGCCCAAGCCAGGTACTGCCCAGCAGCTCCTGGGGCAGTGTACCCAGGACCCCTAAGCCCCATGGACATGGGTGTTCGCTTAACGCCCAACCTGCACTGCATCCTTGGATGTGTTGTGGGTGGTAATGAATGCATACGTGTGATCATGATGCTGATGGGAGAACCCGGAAGCCACATGGGTGGGCACTTGGAGGCAACCCCGAGGGAGCAACAGCGGACACCACTGGCTGGGGGACAAAGAGAAGGGCGGGTATAAGGAGAGTCCAGAGCCACCTGTAAGAGAGGGGCTGCCAGGGGGGACTGAGGATTACAGGTGAGCAGCGCCTCAGGGGTGAAGCGGCCACTGCCCACACTGCAGACAGACAGGGAGGAGCACCCTGGCTCCTCCCTTTAGTTTTCCAACCCTGGAAACTCCCAGGGTTTTCCAAGAGGAAACAGGTTGCAAGGGAATCAGGAGTTGCAGGTCCCCAACACAGATTGGGTGGGAGAAAGAGGACGTTTTGGAAAAGCACAGGGGGCAGTACCACTGTGCCCGGCAGGGTCACCGTGAGTCAGAGCCGGCGCGGTGGCAGGGAGTGTGGGCTGATTTTTGATACAAGACAGAGCCGGGTGGGCGCAGGGTGGAGAACGCATCTTCCTGGCCCTCTTGTGAGAAGGTCTCTGATGAGGGAAGGGACAGCAATACATCCTAGTGCGGGGGGGCGGACAGTCCGTCCACTCATGGTCAGGGGTGTCACACTGCCGAGGGGGGCTGGAATCAGACTCGTCTATTCCCCAGGTCCTTTGCAGCCCATGCATGGCTCCGGTGCCCAAAGAGAGAGCCACTGCCACCCTGA